ATTAAACTATAAATAGCCACAGCCTACAACACTGCTCAATTATCAGATTTACAGATTATTTTCAAAAGTAACAGACGGAATTGCTTCTGATTATTATGTACTTTAGAAACAAATACCTTTTTTTACCGAATGCAGCATTCAGTAACCACATATAATATATATAAAATATATATCATAAGACCTAATAAAACAAAGCTGCATATAAAAAGGAACTGGAATTGTTCAATAGCTATCACCATGGTTGCTAAATGGATGCTGGAATTTCTCAGAATGGGCATTCTCACTAGAAGTACTTATCGTGTAGCATCTACCAGGCAGATCAATGTCATCTATCCAGTTTTATATGATAATATCTACCTCATATAACGCCACATGCTGTTCAAGACATTAAAACTTTGCTGACAGCTTATCAGACTGTCCCTTACTCTCCATCTGTTCTGATGTTCATATTGTTTATAAAATATATGGGGAACATTGAGGCATTATCAAATAACTAACATCAATAGAGAACATTATACAACCATACTGGCATATGTTTACAGTGGGTTTAAACTTGGGAAAACTTAGGGCCAACCAGCTAAAGAAAGTTCATAACAGCAGCTGTATATGGAAAAAGTAACATACCAATAAAATAACTTATTCATTTAACTTTATTTAAAAATTTAATGGAAAAAAACCCTTCAATCTATTCACATAAGGCATGACGATGGCAACAGAGTTTATTAGGGTGAGTAAACACCTCAGTTCAGATCTTTCTGCAGTGTATCCCTTGTAAACAGGCTTCAACCCATAATTAGTCACGCATCATATGTTAATCAAGAAGCATTCATTAAAAATAAAGCAGCAGAAGGAGACACATCCAACAGTGTTGTGCTTTTTCCTACCTATTAATCCAATTCTTGATCAACATAGAAACCAAGACAATTCCGTGCTACATAATGATTTGCGATATGCAGACAAGTGCACAAAAGTTAACAAAAATAAAGAAATAACAAGCACGTGTACCTATCACTAAATTATCTGCATAGTCTCCAAAGTTCTTCTGACCACGTTCATTTAGATAAGAAGAAGCGTTTACCAGTGAACCCATACAACTAGTGGACTTGAAGAGATATGTCCTAGTTGATGCCAATATCTACAGCAGTACTTTTTGTAATATAGATATCTCAAGTTTGGGACATGAAAAACAAAGGTCTTGGTCAGAATGTCATGCTCAGTGACAACACTGCAAAACTCACAATCTTACAAGTATACACATCTGCTCAGGACGGCACTGAGAAGATTTACAGTCTTTGCAATCACAGATGCTTCAATTTTTTTTCCTAAATATTGCCGAATGCATTCCCCGTGGTATTTGGCTGACATTATTGTTGGATTAGCCCTATCTTTCAAGTCGACAAATATGATGTAATGCTGGGAAAGATAATTGGAGCTGTATCCCAGACACATGTAGTTTTGACACATGTACCTTTCAAATCATACTTAAGCCATGTTTTTTAGTTATCCTTAAGCGAAGAACTGAGAAAGTCTAAACATGTAACAGTGTTCTCTAGACAACATAGGCAGGCATGGAACTGCAATTATAAATTACAATGCCCTTTCCACAGTTCACAGTTCTATTCATCTTTTTGAAACATTGAGAGACAGATCGGACATCAGGGAACGGATTAGCCACAGGACGACCTGTATTTCAGTACAAAAGCCTAAGTGTGGAAAAATGGCACACTGTGTCACCCATTCTTCACTTCCTGAAGAAAAAAAAAACATATTCATGGAGATGGGCATTTAAACAGCTCTTTCCCACTCATTTCAGAACAAGCCCTGATTGTATGCCCTGCTAATACCCAAGCAATGTTATCACCAAGTCAATTTAATTAGCAAACAAACGCCAATACTGATGTGTTTCACCAACAGAAGAAAAAAAAATCATGCCCTCTCTGAATAATTCTCAGGTATAAAACATGAAGGGTTAAGCAAAACTGCAGAGTGACAGCCATTTAACTTACTAAATACATGTGTTAACTTCTTTTAGACATTGCATTTAATATTATGGAGATGGAGATGTAATGCATCAAGACCAATGAATTACTGTCTAGGGAGAGAACATCCCTTTATCTGAAAGCATGGCTCTACACATTTATGCCAACAACATGTTCTGGATTACTGTGTAATTTGGTGGAATAAAAACATTAGGCTTTAATTACAGTATTAATTTACATGCATGTACAGATATCACTCTGCAAAGCATAATAATCAGATAAGCCGTCTTCCACTAATAAAATGTAAGCAACAGTAGGAATGTTTACAAACAGGATACCCTGTTACAAAATAAAACCATTTCATTCATTGTGGACAGCGAAGGAGCTCATAGTTCAAGGTGTTCAGCAATAGATATAACGCTACTCTAATAGGGAAGGCGATTTCATATGCATGATGTGTTAAACAACAACTGCAATCATTAAACACATCATAAAGTCCACTGTACATTTCCCGTTAAAGCCGTCAGAAGACAAATGTCCTCTAAAAGGGCTTTTGAAAAACAGCTGCAATCCAGACTAAAATGGTGTCTGATCTATTGAGAAAACTCTCCTTGTGAACTTTGCAAATTGGGATTTTTTTTTTTTTTTATCAAGGACCACCATTTCAGCACTAGAGCCATCCCCTGGGCAAGCTCTCTTTGTGACATTTAAAATAAAAAGAGGAATGGCAAACACAAGTACAGGGTGACATTTTACTATACAATGTATTGTTGGTGAACTGGAGGCAGGAGAAGACTACACAAGAGCAGCCAGTCTCCGGAAAGAGGTTGCAGTGATCACTCCGAGGCAGTGAAAGTAGTCTATGTTAAGTGCAGCGTGGGAACGCAGTCTGATGGTGAAGCAGCAGAACAGACCAACAAGGCTCTGTGTGCAGCCTTCTTAGCTAATCATCATATTCTCTTCCCAGACACTTAGCTAACCAGAGGCACATTAACTGACACATGTTCATAGATCTCACTCTCATCCAATGGAAAAGCCTAGAACAGGTATATATTTGAATTTCTGACTTGGCCTGTGATGTCATCTTGACAATAAAACACAGCGCTGTCTTCTACACATATCAGATTCAATTCACAAGGCTAACAAATCACCCAAAAAAGTGACAGTTATTGTCAGCCGGGTCCAATGAGGTGGGAAAATTAGTCACATGGCTGGAAAAAATGAACCCTTATAGCCCTGGGCGCTTTATGAATTGAGCCTATAGTGACAGAAAAGCACATTCACAGAACAATAAAGCCGTGACACAGCCGTGACCAATTTCCTCTGATGTTTGTTCAGAACATACCAGAATATCCGGACTTACATCAATATGCCTGCTAATAAATACTGCTATAGCAACAGATGTGAGCTTTGCCATTCCTCAGTAGCAGCAGTCTTCACAGGAAAGCTGTGTTGCAGCACAAGTAGCAAGCTGATGCAGTGAAAGCCACTCTATGTATATTATATTCCTTTTACTATGTCAATAGATCATAAACTGTATAGCCTGCAGTCACCCATGGCAACCACCATGACCCCATCATCTACCTGCCTGCTGTACACTGGTGAAAGGTAACTGGTTGCTAAGGGTTATTGCATCTTACTGTCCTCAGCACCATCTTTACTACCACCATGTCCCCCATCATGTACCTGCCTGCTCTACACTGAATGAAAGGTGAAAGCTAATTAGTTGCTATAGGTTATTGCATCTTGCTGTCCTCAGCACCATCTTTACTACCACCATGACTCCCATCATTTACCTGCCTGCTCTACACTGATGAAAGGTGACAGATAACAGGTTGCTATGGGTTATTGCATCTTACTGTGCTCAGCACCATCTGTATTACCACCATGGCCCCCATCATGTACCTGCCTGCTCTACACTGAAGAAACGTGACAGATAACTGGTTGCTATGAGTGACTGCATCTTACTGTCCTCAGCACCATCTTTACTAGCACCATGACTCCCATCATGTACCTGCCTGCTCTACACTGAAGAAAGGTGACATATAACAGTTGCTATGGGTGACTGCATCTTACTATCCTCAGCACCATCTTTACTACAGGAAGCAAACACAATTAGCATCCTTATGTAGCAACAAGATCCTCCAAACTACACATCAGTTTTACAATCCCTGGCCTCCATGGTACCCTCTACATCTAGAGGTGAGAGCGCCTCCATAACTTTTTAGATGGCTATGATGTATAGCTGGAACCTATAATAATAATCACTAGGCAGTAACTGAACGTGAGCATTTTCCACTGAGAGCACAGGAAATGAGCGCTGCGTTCAGTGCAGGTTCTCGTTTCAGCCGAGGATCGGGCTCTATGTAAAGAGGAGATGATTTAACTCCATTAACCTTTAACACTTTGCATGTCCAGGGGGACGACTAATAGAAAAACCCCCACCGCCCCAAATTCCTTTGGGCGACTTTGTAGGCGCTGGAGAGGGCTCAACTGAACCTGGGGCTGCGCTTTGACAGCGCACCGGCGCTTCCTATGTGCACTCATCTGCCCTTTCCATAGAACTTTACAGCCATCTATTGAAAACTTGCTGAA